AACAGAGAGACTCGGAGTAAAGGAGGTTAGAAAAGGTTAGCAAAACCAACAAACAAGTATGGACTCCAGGGAGGTCAGCGGGGAGGTCAAAAAAGTCAAAAGGGTGGCCACCACCATGCTGTGGAAGCTTTGTCCTTTTTTACATGCAACCGCACGTAAAATAAAGAGCTGTGGCTGCCCTTTTGACTTTTTTGACCCCCTTCCTGAAGACACCCTGATGGTGCCAATAGATGTCAGTGAGGCATCTTTGGGGCACCTTTTAATCTGAAGAGATAAAGAGATGCAGCAGGTAGAAAGCTTATTTTAGGATTTATCGATGTGGTTTTAGCTGGTTTTTGGTCCAACAAAGCTCTGGCGATCTTATCTAGGAGCTCAGGAGCCCTGCTCATACACTGAACGTGACAGGAATGGGATTAGGCCAGCGTTTGGGTTACTGTCCTGGCCTGCAGTGTTTGGAAACTTTTCTCTTCCTTTCCATCAACCATGGTTCATTAGTTGGTTCCAACCATCCACCCGCTTAGTGCTAATTCTAGTCTGTTCGACGTCTGCTCGTTTCAAACACAGCAGGGTTGATCCAATGGCCGGGGGACACACAACGCACACTCAGCGTAACCATCTATGGGAATGACCTTGGGAGACAGGGGAAGAGCCGCAGCCAGGGGAACAGTCGGATAAGAGGCAGCTGAGCCCTCAGCAGGAATGGGGACGTGGCAAACGTTTTCAGAAGGGGCCCTCCCTAGTTTCTTGGGCTGTAAAGGCGAGGGGGGAGAGAGGTACTTCTAGACTTGCAGGATTCTGTTAATGGAACCTTACAATAAAGTAGAATTAGTCCATCTGGTTGTGCTTCCTGTCTGGACTACCACATTAGGCTAACATCAATCCTGCAAGTCTCAAAGTACCTTTCTCCCCCCTCACCTTTACAGTCCAAAAAACTAGGGAGGGTCCTTTCTGAGACGTTTGCCTCGCCCACATTCCTTTTGCGGGCTAAGCTGCCTCTTATCTGACTGTTGCCTAGTCTGTGGCTCTTCCTCCTGTCTCCCAAGGCCATTCCCACAGACCATTACACTCAGCAAGAGGGCGGTTAATGGAGTCGAGCACATCGGCTAAGTCGCCGAACCATGATGAAGCCATCGATGTGGTTTGCAACTCATGTGGGCTGGGTTTGCCCTCCCTGCAAAGCCAAAACTAGACCAAGTATATGATGATGATGCGGTGTGAGAAGTCCCTGAGGGGTTTCTACTGGGGCAGGCACAAAAAATTGTGGGTCAGGGACAAGAAAATGCTCTGATCAGGAGCAGAGAAGTGGGGACAAAACCAAATCTCTGCTTGTTGGGGCTTACTCACACTGCTCAATCATCTACAGCTCTGAAAACATGGCTTTGTTGAATCTGAGCCTTCCTTAAAGTGGGGTGGGGGGGCTCCGCTCAGATGGATCTTTCACGCATGGATATCTAGAAATCCATCTCGAACATCTGTGAGGGGGTCAAAAAAGTCAAGATGGCAGTCATGACTGTGATCAAAGCCCTGTGCGAGTGCACCTAAAACGGCCATGGAGCTTTGATCGTCCAGGCACGGCCCCCAGCATATGGGGGGGGTGTCAAAGGACAGCAAAGCAGAGAATGATGCTGCACCTCTTCAAGAATTGCCCTATCGCAGCTCCACTGGACTTTATTCCGGCTGGGGATGCTGGGAACTGTAGTGCAGCCCCATCGTCCCTCTGATAAACAGCAACTGGGCTTTGCACATCATTCTGGAACCTCTGGGCACCAGGTCTAAAATATCCATGAGGAGGATAAAACAGAGTAAAGGAAGATCATTTGCCCTCAGAGCAAGGAGACCCTTAGGAAAATTCATCAAGCCTGGCGCCACGGATGCCCCCCACTCTTTGGTTCGCTCCATGCCACAGCTGAGCAGTCGAAAGGCCCTGATCGCGCCTTTAAAGGAAAAGGAAAAATGAGCAGAAACAGCTATTTCGCAAGAGGCGCCTCAGGCCGCATTTTTTTCCTGGCATGGCACAGGCAAGCTGGCTTTGGAAATGCTCCGTGAGAAAAGGATCTTGAAAAGTTAATGACCCCGCCTCTTCGTAGCTGTGCAGCTTCCCTGTTCAGATCCCTTCTCCCTGAAATTTTGCTCCCTCGTCACTTCGGTACAAACTGTCGCTCCCCAGAGAGGAGACAACCATATATTCTCACCGAGAATCTTCCTGGAGGAAGCGTTAGTGCTTGTCGTCTGAGTGTTTAATGGTTAAGAAGAAATTGCGTAATTCTTGTAAGTAAGTGGAAGAAAAAGACACCCCACCCAGCACACACACACGCGCGCGCACGCACACCCCGCCTGGGTGAGCTTGCTTTAACACCACGTTCTGTTATGGCATCTGCGGAACCTCGCTCTCAAAAAAGCACAACCTGGGGAAAGGAAAATAAAAAAAATAATGTCAGTTTCTGCACTGAAAAAGGGGAGGGAGATTACAGCCTCCTCCGGTGCCTTTTCCGTAGCGGGAAACATCCACCAAGATTGAGTACCAGCGGTATGATTTCTTAGGCACCTTTGGTGAGAAGTCAGATAAAATCGGTCGGCTAAAATTAGGATGCAGGTAGTCCTTGACTTATGACAACAATAGGGACCGGAAAATTTGTTGTTAAGTGGGGCAGTCATTAAGCAAGGCATCACGTGACTGCAACTGATTTTTACGACATTTTTTGCAACGGTCGTTAAGTGAATCACGTGGTTCCCCATTGACTTTGCTTGTCAGAAGCCCCCTGGGAAGGTTGCAAATGGCAATCATGTGACCCCAGGACACTGTAACCATCATAAATTCATCCCAGTCACCCAAATTTTGATCATGTGACTGCGGGGATGCTGCGAAGTGTAGTGCGAGAACTGGTCATAAGTCACTTTGTTCAGCTCTGTTGTAACTTCAAACGGTTGTTAAACGAATGGTTGTAAGTCAAGGACTACCTGTAATCTCAAAGTGCCCAGAAAACATGCCCACAGACACAAGGGGAACAGGGGTGCAGGGGGGAGAGAACACGGGGCCCATGAGGTGGGCTTATTTATAGTGATTGTTGTTGCCCTCAGCTGTCATGATATGGGTATTTATTATATTGTTATTGGTTGTTTTTACTGAGTTTTCTGTGTTATCGGCCCAGAGGTGCTGTTACAAGATAGGCAGTCCTATAAATTGACTAGAAGGAATAAATCAAATAATTCCTCCTCCTAGGGACGTGAGAACATAATTTCCCACCCTACCGATGCCTTGTTTTCACTTTTACTGAAAATGTTCACATTACAAATTTCACATGTTCTCGCAGAGAAAGTCTTTTCTCTATTCCTGATCCTTTCCATTGCAGATAGTGATTGCTGAGTCGGAGAATCTTCTGCCGGCAAACAGAGTCACAGCCTCTCCTTCAATAGGAAGTGAGCCTACAGTGTCTGGTTCCCAGTAACTCAGGGCTACCTTAAAAAGGAAGGGCAGCTAATAAACGTTTGAGGCCCTAAAGAATCTGCTTTTGCTTAGTTTAAATTTAATTTAATTTAATTTAATTTAATTTAATTTAATTTAATTAATTAGATTTGTTATGGCCATCTACTCCAGGAGATGCTGGATGGCTTACAAAATTTAAAAAAAAACAGTCAAACAATTAAAACACCCTAGTGGGTTATGCAGACCAATCCAACTCTGGTTTATTCAATAAGCCAGGGTTTGCCAATCACGGCTTCTTGCAAGGTTGGACTGCAATCCCTCTTAATCGCAGCTGCCTGAATCGATGGACACTGTAATCCACGTCTGCCTTACTTTTTTGACTTGCAGGGGAAAGTGATCTCGGATCTTTGGGTTTTGCAGGTGCAAAACGTGCGAACAATCAGATGGGGGGAGTAGAAATCAGAGAAGGTTCAGAGGGGGAATTACAGATCATATTTCAGCCCCCACAGTGATGCGTGAGTTTAGTAAAGATGAGTCGGGGGCAAAAATGAATCCGTTGCAAAAAAAAAACGGAGAAAAGAAATAATGATTGCACGCTGGGCACGCTTTAACATAACAAGCAGGGCCCCTAAGGGGCTCTGTAAAAGGGCCAGTCTTTGCAAGGCAGCTGTTTCCAGAAGGAGCAAGGCTGGACAGGCGGTGTAACCTGAACTACGTCCCCTTCGCATCAAGCGTGACTCCTGATCTCTTTATAAATACCTCGATCCTGTTTTCCTGGCAGCCATCTGGAGCAGATCGCCCCTGCCTTTTCCTGGGAAGTTTTTGCAACTTCCCAGGCTATTTTCCAGCTCAGAGTTTTCCTGGTCGTCTCTCCTCCAAATACTAACCTGATTTGATCCTGCTTAGCTTCCTAAGATCCGCTAGACGTTGTCCCCAATGAAAGCAATCAATATTTATCTGGATGGAAAGAGAAGTGCCTAGATTTCACTCTGGGTGCCCAGAAGTGCCTTCGTGCCCCAAGACGGCCATTTGGAAAAGACACCAGGGAAACTGGCAAAGAGGGGCTCCTTGAGGGCCCCCCAAATTGCACCCGAGAACATGTGAAGCCTGGGGACCCCGGGAGCGTACAGGGAGGGAATGGGCGGCTGAAAGAATCATCTCTCTCCAAATCAGTGTTCTTCAGGGCCCTCCTCCGTGAAGACGCCTGTCCTTCTAAGCCCAGGACAGCTGGCATGATGGGGGGGGGGCATCATGGTAGGGGTGGAAACCAGCCCGTGGAACCCTTCCCCTGAGATCTCTGCCTGCCCCGGTGCAAATAATCTCTTCTCAAAGAGATCCCACCTCCTGCCCCCAACTGATCTCCAGAGCCACAGGACAGGGGAACTCCCTGTGCTGGATGTGCCCAAGCAGAGGCTGGACGGGCATCGGTTGGGGATATTTTACTTGGGATTCCTGCCCTAGGTCAGGGGTGGGACTGGAGAGTTTCAGAGCCCCCCACTCATCCGGAGGATTTGAAAACGAAGCTTGATATACTGCGGCGTTCCGTAAGACCCGACAAGCCACGGCTAAGGGTTTGTAGCTGGTTTCGCAAGCCGCGATCAGCAAAGTCCTAGCAAACAACCTTTGGGCTGAACACGGTGTACAACATTGTCCTTGGTTTGTCAACTATGGTTTAATGGCATAAAAGGAGGTGTGGGCAGCCTTCTTCTCTTCCTTGACCTTGGAGGTCTGGGGGTGGGGGTGGGCATTTTCAGGCCCTTTCAAGGGGCTGCGGGGTATGAAATCTTGTTTTCCACCCAACAGATGTAGCGCCATTGCAGACATTTAACGTACCTCTTTTGAATCTTCTCTAAGAGACACCCATGCAGAAAAAAGCGAAAAATCAGCATTTAGTTGAATTTCAGTGGCATAATCCTGGGGGGATGGGGGGGGAAGCAAGTGTCCTGAACCACCCAGTTGTGCTTAACCCCTGGCTGTACATGATGTGTGAATTGGGGGGAGACTTGGAAAGAACTGCCCAGTGTCATTAGCAGTTGGACGGCTTATAATTTTAAATCATTGTCATCATCATCCTGCGACGATACCTTGAGCACCATCAAACAACCACATCTGCCTATCCCAGGTCCTTGGGAAGGACTCGATAGGGGGGTAAAAAGGCCAAATCCAGTTTAAACATCTGGCTGACCGTGCGACCAACCATTAGAAATTAAATCTGAATACCCTCTAGTCCAACCCTGTCGCTCAGTGGAGAAAACCAGCTACGGTTTCCCTAAGAAAGGGCGTCCCATCTCGTCCGAGCCCATCATCCTCTCCTTAATCACTGCTTCTGCTGTTGATCAGTCCTACCGCTTCACCCAAATCCGCCCTCCAGCGAGTCCATTAGCTCTAGTCCTCTCCTCGGCCATGTAGCACACAAACCAGGGCTGCCTTTCGCACGACTGCTCTTGTGCAAAAGGATTTAGAGCTGACCGGGGGAAGGCAGGCGAAAGCTGCTTAGCGGGGACTTGGAGACGCAATTACACCGTCCAGAGCAGGGTTTCTCAACCTTGGCCACTTTAAGGTGTCTGGACTTCAACTCGAGTTGAAGTCCACGCATCTTAAAGTTGCCAAGGTTGAGAAACAGAGGTTGAAGGAAGTGTGAGAAAGAAACTCAAGATAACCCCGCCTTGATTTTCTTTAGTATAAGAGAAATTTAGACAGGCTTTCAAGATTCGGTTATTATACCGGTCAGCCTTCCCAGGTAGACCAGAGAGGAAATAAGATGAACTAATTCTACTTTACTGTAAAGCTACATGAACAGAATCTTGCAAGTGTGAAAGTGCAAATCTCCCCCGTCTCCTTTACAGCCTGAGAAACTAGGGAGGGTCCCTTCTGAGTCTCTTGCCCCACCCACTATCCAGCTGTGGGCTCAGCTCCCCCTCATCTGATCGTTTCCTTGGCAGGATCTCTTTGCCTCATCTCTCAGGATCTTTCCCACATACTATTACAATACTCTATAACAAGAAAGTAGTGTTCCCGGAATCCCTGCAGGGTCTGTTTTTTGACCTGGCCTACCTAGGAGGGCCGACATCACGGCAGACCAGCCTAGCACAAAGGCAGCCTGTCCGGGACTCACCTTGATCACGACAGCCGCCACAATGCCCAGCAGTGCAAGAGCCACAAGGCCGAACTTCCACATGCTGAAGCGTTTCAAGACAAAGAATTTAGCCCAATCCAGCTTCTTCTGGCTGTTGGGGGGGTATCGAATACTGTTGACGGCTTCCATCTTGAGCGCCCGGATGAGGCAGGAGCGCCGGTGGGAAAAGTTCTCAAAGCTGTGCCGGCCGTGGTAGGAGCCCATGCCACTGTTCCCTGGGGGGAGAAGAAGATTTCAGGGGAGGGGGGCGTAGCTGGGTCAATCTGAGCCCTGGAGAGAGAGGAGCTGCGTAAAATCAGTTCTGCCCCTAAGTTACTAGTCCTCAAACATTCACTGCAATCAGGCGTGTCTGCAGGGCATGGTCAAAAAAGTCAAGTGGGTGTGGCGCACAAAAAATGGGCAGAGCTTGGACCGTACCATGGTGGCCACCATCCCAGAGTCAATAAAATAATCAAATCCATTTGCGTTAATAAAAAGAATGGTGCAGTTTGGCTGCAACCTACGATACGCTTCATACCCCCTTTCCCTTTCAAACCCTCCGGATTGGTCATGCAAAAATTGTCTGTTGTTTTGGGCCCATGTGGCCACCAGGAGCCCACGACGGGGACATGGGAGAAGCCAAGGTATGTGGTCGGGAACTCAACTTCCCTTGTTTTTCGAGCATCCCTGCGCATCGGCCACCTTTAATCCAACCTCCCTGAATAGCACACTGGGCCTGGGGAAGACGGCCTTCGGGGGAAGACAGGCTCCAAGCCGAAACGTTTTCTCATTAGGAAACGCAGCCCAAATGGCTTCCCACCAGGGACTCACCAACGCCTCCGAAAGGTAAGCACGGGATGGAGAAGTGCATGATGACGTCGTTGGCTGTAACTCCGCCGCTCGAGGTCTCGGCAATCACCTTCTTGATTGCCTGGGAGACAAGAGAGAGGAGAACAGGGACTGCAAAGGCGATCACCGGTTGATCCAGCCAACAGATCGACGGGTTCTCGACCGGGGGAGAGAATATAAGGCAGCTTTATAGGGGAGAGAGGCCTGGGGGTCTTGGGGAACCGGAGACGTCCTTAGACGGCTCTGCTATGGTTGATATTCTTGCTCTCTCCGTGGGGTTTGTACGTTTTAAAGTTTTTGATAGTATTTTCATTTCAATAATTCCTTTTTATAAGGGTTGTTTTTTACCTAATTGCT